GTGACGTAGGTATGTGGGGGCGTGTTAGAACGAGCCGTTTTAGGTAGGCGTGGCTGACTCTTAACTTTTATAAAGAATATCTCTTTGGATTTGAGACTTTAGTCTTTGCAACTTTACAGATCTTCTTTATGCACCAAGAGCTTGTAACACTCCAAAGAGAAAGGAAAACTTGAAAATCGCATCATATGAGCCCTTTAAATACAAAAATAATGAATTAAAACAATGCCTCAATTACCTCAGGAAAGTGTGCAAACAGAAGCATAGAATATACAAACCTGACGAATCATTTCCTCAAACTTGTCCTTCTCGTACTTCTGCAGAGCTTTGTAGTCCTCAACTGAGGTCACGTCAAGCTTATGCTTGGTTTTGGGCTTGGGGGGCTCAAATGGGCAGGTGAGGATGGCGATTTTGGTGTCTTTCAGTACCTGCATATACAACATGCTTATTAACAAAGACCTTACATATGATAATCATGTCATGCATGTGCAACCAGGAATGAATATTAATAGTACCTTGGGCATCTGAGGGTGGCTGAACTCTTTGTCCACAATGACACCTTTGATGAGCTGAGTGTCCTCTAGTTTACCACCGACTTTTCCTTCAACTTTGATAAGCTCAAAGTCGACATCCTTCCTCTCCATGTCGGCCACTGTCAGGATGGCATTGACAGCAATCTCTGAAAAAAAAAAAAAAAAAGAGATTTTCCTTGTAATATTCTCATGAACTGTTAATTTAAAAAGACTAGTAAGACAGACACTCACACTTTGGATCCTAGCGTGGTCATGGCTGTCTGAATAAGAGGCTCTGTGTTGTTAGGATCCACTGGGAAACTATCACCAATTTTGTCGAGCTGCTCAATGGCGATCTTTGCGGCCTGGTCATAACCATCGGTGATCCTGATGGGGTGAATGCCACGGTCTAACAGCTGCTCGGCCTGCTCTAGAAGAGCTCCAGCCAAAACTACAGGGCCAAACAGACACATTAGATCACAAAGCTGCACAGAGTAAGCAAAAAAAAACTTTTTCTAAACATATTTATAAGGCACATATTACAATTAAAAGATGTCATCTACTGTAGCTTACAGGTAGGTGAACATGGAATCATACATATACATGACATCAAACTTAATCTATAAAACAAACACTACATTTCAAAAGTTTTGTTTTTTCCCCCCCCAATGTTTTTGAAAGTCTCATTCTCAGAAAGGCTGAATTTATTTCATGCAAAATACAGTAAAAACAGTAACATTGAGAAATATCATTAAAAGAACTGTTTTCAATTTTAATATATTTTAAAATGCAATTTATCACTGTGATGTCAAAGCTGTATTGTCAGCAGTCATTACTGCAGTCTTCAGTGTCACTGAAGACTCCTTTAGAAATAATTGTAATATGCTGATCTGGTGCTCAAAAATATTTTTCAATAAATGTTACTAAAAGTTTATAAAAAAAAGTTATGCTGTTTAATATTTTTGTGGATTTTTAAAATTATTTATTTGATGAAAAGAAAACTTTAAATATCAGCCTTTATTAGAAATCTCTAATGTTACC